TTTAGATGCCCATTTCTTAAGTCTTGAATTTGGGAGGTTTGATTTTTTTGAGCTCTTTATTTTAGATACTACTTCTAGGTATTAGTCCTTTGTCTGAGGAAGAGCTAGCAAAAATTTTTTCCTACTCTGTGGGCTGTCTCCTCACTCTGTTGATGATTTCTTTTGCTGTGCAAAAGCTTTTTAGTAAGATGAGATCCCAGTTGTTGAGTCTTTGTGCTACTTCCTGTGTGACTGGGGTTTTGTTCATAAAGTCTTTGCCTACATCTATGTCTTCAAGAGTTCTATTTATTCTTTCTTCCAATAGATTTAATGTTTCTGTTTTAATATTTAGATCCATTTTAATTTTAGTTTAGTGCACGGTAAAGGATTTGGGTCTGGGTTTAGTCTTTGGCGTGTAGAAAGACAATTTTTCCAGCATATTGGTGCCTCATTCAATCTCACTACGCTCTCCTTTGTTCTGATGGACTATGCAACCATAATTTTTATTTTGTTTTATTTAATTTATTTACTTAATGAAGTTTATTGAAAAGCAACTGTACTTCCTCTTCATGCTGACAAACAAAAATAAAACAGCATTTACAAGAGTATTAAAATATGAAATAGCAATAAATCTCACTCACAAGACCATAATTTTTATTTTAGCATTGAATAATGCCATTGTTTTCCTCACTCTATTCTTCTCTAGCAGTTTAATCCAACAAAACTTCTTTTGCTCCTTCAGTGTTAGGAAAGCAAGTTGACTAAATCAAGCTACAGTAGGGTGTTAGCTTCTAAAAGCCAATTTATGTCTTTCTGGGGTTTTTGCCAATTGACTCTCTCAAGAAACAAGTTTAGCTGGGCGTGGTGGTGAAAAAAAGAAAAGAAAAGAAAAGAAAAAAGAAAGAAGTTTAGTGCAAAGATTTTCTTTAAATTACACCCAGGGCTTCCCCATGCAAGGTCAGGCCTGTGGGCTAAAGGGAAGATACAAGAAGAGTATGGGCTTCAAATACTTCAGAATTTCATACAGGGAAGAGTTGTTCTTTTTCTCAAATTTCTCCTTGTTAATCACTTTCTGGGGCTTGAGTCTTCAAAATCCCAATCATTCATAAGACGCACCAAGGATTATGGAGATTAGATTTTTACAGACTCAGAACTGGGCCACAGTGCCATAATGACACAGAACATATGAAAATGTACTCCCTCTGAAAATTCCATAAGTCTGTTTGCAATGTGAATCATGAATAAAAGTTCAGTTCTAGCTTTGTGGATTCTTAAGTTAGTCATTCCTTTTAAACTTTGGTTTGCTTTATATCAAACAAGCATAACAGAATCTATTTCAGTGAGTGATTATAAGAAAATTCCTAAGTGTCTATAGAATATGACACTCCTCCACCCTTTACAAGTACTATTGCATTTTATCTTCACAACAACTTATACATTTCACAAAACTCTATGTGTACTATTTTTGCTACAAAATAGAAATGATTCATAATTTACATAAGGTCATAGAACTATTAAATTGTAGAGCTAATTTGAACTCAGGCAGTACAACTCCACAGCATTATTCCATTGTGAAGAAAGTATAACATATAATTTTTGAACCCAATTGCAATGACCAGTGGCTTTAGGCATGGTGAATACAAGCATGTGGAAAGTATAAAGGCAAAGCCTACAACCAATTTACCTTTGTATCCTTCCCTTATCCTATCCTATTCTATACTACCCTAGGCCATGGATTTGGTAGTTGCTCAGTATATTTTAGGTAAACAAATTTCAGAAAACTCTAAAGTATTAAATAGTTTTGAGTGGAGAAATATGGACCCTAGTTGCTCAAAGAGTCATTAAGGATAAAAAGCTTAATTTAAAAAGCAAATGGCCAAAATTTCTAGCCAAGATCAAGATGTGGTAGCACACTCCTGTAATCCCAGCACTCTGAAGGCTGAGGCAGGAGGATCGTTGTGAGTTTGAGGCCAGCCTGGGCTACAAAGTGAGCTCAAGGCCAGACTGACCTGCATAGTGAGACCCTGTCTCAAAACGACAAAAAAAAACTCTAGCCAAGTTCTTCTATTCAAACTTTTCCATTAAAAACTCAGATTTCCTGTTTCCCTGTGCCTGCCACTGGCAGGAAGGAGTTTTTTGCTGAACTCACTGTGAGAACCTTCTGGAGTGTTTGGAGGTAAAACCCACCACATGCATGGCTGTCTGATCACTGAAGTCCCTGGAGCTTTTACCTCCTGATGTACATGGAGCCCCCAGCAACTCCTGTCCCTGGCACTGGCTCCCCTCAAGGTCTCTGCACTTGGGTGTCCACTCTGGGAAGTTCCAATATGGGGGCACCAGTCACCTGTCTTAGGGTCTAAGCAAAGTTGTTGATTTTTTTTTTTTTTTGGCTTTTTACCTGTTGTTGGGATGCATCAGAGACTTCCAAGCTCCTAATATGTAGAACCAGAATCCTAAAACCATGCCATTCCTATTTTATGACCAAATAATAGTCCATTATATAGCTGGTTATATACCATGTTTTGTTTGTCCATTCTTTGGTTGGTGGACATTTCGGTGGTTTTCCACGTTTTGGCTATCATGGTAATACCTGAGCAAGACATTTTTAAATATTTGTAATTCCCAGCTGGGCATGGTGGTACATGCCTACCTTCCCAGTACTTGGGAAGCTGAGGCAGGAAGATTTTGAGTTTGAGGTTAGCCTGGGCTACATAACAAGTTTAAGGCCACTTGTCTGAAAAGAAAGAAAGAAAAAGAAGAAAGAAAAGAAAGAAAGAAAGAAAAAGAAAGAAAGAAAGAAAGAAAGAAAGGAAAAGAAAGGAGAAAAACAGAGAAACAAAGAGAGAGAGAGAGAGAGAAAGAAAGAAAGAAAGAAAGAAAGAAAGAAAGAAAGAAAGAAAGAAAGAAGAATGAACTCAGATTTCACAAATCTTGAACTCCTTGATAAGATTCTATTTCAAACTAAGGAAGACCATGATTCACTCTAATTATTCCTTAAAAGCATATAGCATATTATAATAAAATATTTGCTCTTGGCCTTATTCTGTCTTATTATTCTAGAAAAATAGAAGAGGCTATGAAAGAATTGACATTTCCTTTTTACACAGTTCTAAAAATATACTAGGATAATATAATGCAAAAGCAACAAAAAGTGTCCTGTCATCAGGACACTTTCATACAGGGAAGAGTTGTTCTTTTTCTCAAATTTCTCCTTGTTAATCACTTTTATACCTGTCATCAAATCCTGTCTTAGGCCTATAGAGCCCAATGTGTCTCCAAAAGAACAATGCGTAGCACTGACACAGTGGTGTTTCTCACAAGAATTCAATTTGTCATAGTTCTGTCATTCACCTGAGCACTCTGTGGTGGTATGATGACACTTAATTCTGCAGACAGTATAGACAGTCAGAAGTGACCAATCTATGAACACGGTAAGATTTTGCAATGTCAATTACATTCTAGAATAAATACCTAATTTTCCATAAATACAACTGGCCAATAAGGACTCTATTTCTGACCAAAAACTCAGTCTAGACACTTAGAAATAGTTTTTATACCTGGAAAAAGAGACTGACATACGTGATACAATTAAACTGGTCTTCTGTTTCCAGAATTAACTCTGTTTCCCAAGGGTTGGATTTTTCAGTATATCTACATTAGTCATGCTGCAGGCACTCCTTAAATATCTGATGATTCAGAGTTGTCCATTCATATTTAAGAATATGAGTTTAAGACTGAACTAGAAGCTTCATGTATGCAGGTGGAATTTAATGCCTGCGAGTCTACATCTGTTCAGATATATCAAATAATTGGCTTATGAGCCTAATCAGAATTTATATAGTCATTGAAACTTTACCATTTGGAAATGATTTATAATTTGGAGAGTGCATATGAAAATTATATTTCTGGCTTCCTTTGGAAAAAACAGTATATACATATATCCATATATATGTATATGTGTGTATATATATAAAATGTGTAGTATTTTCAGTTAGAGTTGAAAATCTCTTCCTCCAGATTATAATTCATCTGTTTCCTTTGTCTATGGTAGCCTTCATTAAAAAATAATTCTTAATTTTGATGTAGTTAAACCCATTGGTACTGTTTGGTCTTATTAAAAAAGTATTTTCTATCTCAAAGTTACAAAGATATTTTCTTGCACTTCTATCAGAAAATAAAATATGTATGAGATAACAAGAAAGGTAAATATATACTAATAAAGATCTACAAACAGATAAAGCATTTTTGAAAACAAAACAAAAGGAGAGACATCCCCCACTAGGCATAAGACCCTTACATAGTCAAGTAAGGTAAGAATGGCAAAATAAAAATGAGAGAGAGCAGAAAACCCAAAAATAGTTATAGATTTTTGTAGCTATAACTTCATATACAGTACAGTAGCAGTGGGGAAAAGAATTGTTCAGTAGATCTTGTTGGGGAAACAGGTTTATTCTATCAAGAAAAACAGAATTAGCACCCTAACTTATAAAGATGAATTTATGACCAGATAAATGAAAGACCAACATGTAAATAGTTAAATTACAAGATTAATGGACACATTTTAAGATCCATAATATAGGTAGAATTTAATAGAAACCAAACTAAATAGAAAAAATGAGCAAAGAAAAGCAATTTACAGGAAAGGGAACACTGACTATGTGGAGATGCTCTTGAACTAACTTGCAATTAGAGAAATGAAAATTAAAACAGCAAGATACCACGTTATATTAATCAGAGTAACAAAAAAGTGGAATCTGAGCGTGGTAAAAGGGGAATTTTTATGTTCTCTTGGTAGGAATATAAAATAGTACAATCATTTTGGAGAGAGATCTGGTAGCATGTGGAGAAATTACGAAGGGTTTTATACTTTACGATCCAACATTTCTGATCCTGGGAATAACAAAAAGGAAACCTTTTGAAGATCTAATAAGGAGATATTTACATATACATGAATATGTAATGCACAAGGCTGCCCTGGAGGGGTCATAAGCCCATGCCCTTAACCATAGTCCCCCCATTACCTCATTTCCTACTTCTTGCTCTCAGACAACAACGTATCATTTTCCTTTTTGGTTCCAATGATTCTTCATCCTTATAGCAGAAATCCACTTGATTACCATTCTGTAAAAAAAAAAAAAAAAAAACAAACAAAAAACAACTTTATTTCTTTCAGCTACCTGGGGAGGGCTACTGCATAGAAAAGGTCTTTCCTCCAACCCCAAAAGAGCCCAAGTCCTGAGGTCACAAGGGCCAAGTCAGCTGTGTGTACTTCACAGCTGGTAAGGAGACTGCACATTAGTGCCAAATAGTCAAGGGATAAAAGAAGGGGACAGACAATACAGAAGCGGGCTTCATGGTAGCAACTCACCTGGACCCTGGCCTGGCTCAGATATGGTGAGGATGAAAACCAGCCTGGGAGCTGAACAAAGGAGCAGCATCTGTGAGCAGTGGAAACCTGGGAAGAGAAGAGGTCAGAGTGACTTAGAAGTAAGTATTTTCCCACTCCTTCTCCAAACACCAGAAGTGTCATGCCCATGGACCATCCTGCACACTGCCCACCACCCACAGGTGGGTGCCTGCCTGCACAGGATCCCCCTCCATCCCCTGCTGGCAAATACTGAATGTAGTGACCCTGGGACTCAACCAAGTTCACAAGTTATAAAAATGCCATTCTGGGGAAAGTAACCAAGAGAGTACCAAGGAAGAAACACAGAGAAAGAGATAGAGAGTGGTACCCTGGCCAGAGAGCATCCAGCAATGCACTATACAAAAAGTTAAAAAATTAAGAGTCCATAAAAGGCACTAGACAGAAATCCTTGAAGATAAAAAAAATTCTATTAAAAGTATGGGCAGCAGAAGTGCCCAATGTGAGGACAATGTATTAGAAATAGAAAATAGGGCTGATGTTGTTGACCATATACTCAGAGATACCTAGAAAACAAGGGATCTTGGCAACTGGATCCAACAGCTGATAAATGATACAAAGCTAACCTAAAATCAACTGAAGTTAGACAAAAATTAAAAAAAAAAAAAGTGCCACAAATGGCATAAACAATCTGTTTGCAGAAATCACAGCAGAAAACTTCTCAAGTACGGGGAAAGAATTAAATATACAGGTAAACAAGACATATAGAACCTCATACAGCCAAGATGAAAAAAGAACTTCTTAGGACATATCATTACATAAATCCTAGAAGTCCAACACAAGGACAGAATCTTAAAAGCCATTAAAGGAAACAGCAAAATGTATTAAAATAAACCCATTAGGATTACAGCAGACTTCTCATTATAGACTTTAAAGGCCAGGAGAGCTTGAAGTTTTCAAGGTCTAAAAGAAAAAAAAACTTCAGCTCATAGGAATATATCCTGCTGAACTACCTTTCAAAAGTAATGAAGAAATGAGGTCTTTACCTGACAAAGGACAGCTTAAGGAATTCATGACCACCAATCAGCCCTTAAAAAATTCTCAAGGATATCTCAGACAGAAATAACGAAGCCAGTAACACCAAAAAGTCTAGTGGCATGAATATATGAAGCAGGGTGAGAAGTTAACCAGAAGGGAAAATTAAAGGTATCAGCAACAGAAAAATAATGCAATGACAGGAATAAGTCTCCATCTTTCAGTAAATAATTCTCAATGCAAATGGTTTCAGTTTCCAAATCAAAAGACATAGATTGGCAGATTGGATCAAAACTGGAAACTCATTGTTATGCTGTACACAAGAGACACATTTAATCTCAAGAGGTTATAGCCACCTCATGCTGCACAAGAAAGGCCAAGAGAGCCCCACCCTGCCCACCTCACTGCACGGCTGTCTCCTGCTGCATGAGAAGGACCCAAAAGAGTTAAGATATCACATTACAGTGATATATGCAGACACATTTTATAGCAGCACATTATAATAGCCAAACGTTAGAAGCAGCCTGTACGCCCATCAACTGATGGATGGACAAAGGAAATGTGGTATATGCACAAAATAAAGTATGACTCGGCCATAAAGAATGATAAACTTGAGTCATCTGTAGGAATATGGGTGCATCTTGAGACTGTAATGTTACATGAAATAAATGAGACACATAAGAACAGACCTTGCATGGTTTCATAGGAGAAGCATAAAATACAAATGATTTTGAGAGCAGAATAAATGATAGATAATTTGAAACAGGGAGATAGATCCTTTGCAAATAGGAAGGAGATCTAAAAATGGAGGGAGAAGGGGAGGGAGAGTAAACTAAAAGGAATTAAGATGTGTTACATACATGTAGCAACTCACCATGATCAAGGTGATCATTACTTACAGCAAATATATACTAATGAACTTTCTACAAAATTACATAATGTTGATGAATGCTCCACTATAGACACACTTAGGTGGGTATCTTCTGCCATGCTGTGCATGAGGAGTACACTCAGGCATCCTGTATGCAACTTCCCCTTATAAATACTATGGACTGATTTTTTAGAAAACATAAAAAGAAGGCAAAAAAAGGTTTTTTTCAAGCTTTATCTCCTTCATGTCCTCATTTCCTTCCCACCTGGCTTGGATTCCATGGGGCAACAGGTAAGCACTCCCTTATCTACCTTGTTCCTCTCTTGCTTTGACAGTCTCACCTGAAAAAACCCCAACCTTCTTAAAGTTAACACCCTGCACACCTCTGCAATTTATGGAACAGACTGCGACTAGAGGGAATCTAAAAACCATACTCGCTGATACAACTTTCATTTTATGGTCATATATCTTAAGGAGATTCTTAGTGCTGCCAGTAAATGATGAGTCACCGAATTATTCACATTACTTTTCAGAATACATAAATTTATTATACACAGAGCAAAGTGGATACTTGAAACAATGTTGGTTAGAAAAATATAGGAGACTGTCCCACAACAAAAAGTCATTTAAGTAAATTAAAAACACATATTACAAAAACACTGAAGTGTATGGAAGATTTTTCTGGTTGTCATAAATACATACATGATCAAGACCTTGTAGAATACATTTAACTGGGTGCTCATGAGAGAAAACAAAGAAAAAAGGCAGACAGGAAATTGAGAAAAAATAATAGAATTGTAACAGGAGAAATATCTTGCACAAACTGTTACTGAACTGTGGAGCATTATCAACTTACCTGTCTGCACATGGGACTTATTTCTTATATTTAAGAGAGAAGAAGGGCAGCTAGTCTGGTATGCCACTTAAGAATAAAATTCTCTTCATACTGGTTTGTAAGAATTCTTTAGCACAAAATCCAGCCTCCTGCCTGCTTACTCTCAGATATCTTAAGTCCTGATGTCAACAGAAGCCAAGTTTGTCCCCTGCAGTGCAATGGAACAGTGCAGCATAGCCATCAACTCTTGGCCAACAGGCATCTGTCCATGTGGGTCTATCGTTGCTAGACATTCTCTGTATATAGCTGTCTTGTTTTTGTTTTTGAGACAGGTTCTCCCTTTGTAGTACTAACAGGCCTTGAACTCACTATGCAGACCAGGCTGGCCTCAAACTTGTGACAATCTTCCTGCCTCAGCCTGCCAAGTGTTGGGATTACACAGGCATGTGCCACCATGCCCAACTTCCACTTAAAGATCGTGAGAATACTTTGTTAGGTTAATTTCCATGTAGTTTATATGTTTTGCTATTGCTGTAAAGCTATCCCATTTTCTATTTTCTGGAAGTACTAATTACCCATGTGGAGGAATGGTATATGTCTTAGACACAATTCCTGACACCTGCAATTTAAAAGAGGAAGTTTGTTTTGGCTCACAGTTTATAGCGGTTGCAGTCCATAGTCACCTGGTTCCAAGGCAGGGTGGCATGGCAAAGGGGCATGGCAGAGGACAGACAGCTCAGGGCATGGCAGCAAGAAGCAGAGAAAAATCAAGGGAGGAGAGTAGGCAATGCATCCCTCCAGGCCATGCCCCCTGTGATCCACCCTCTACAACCAGGCTTCACCTCCCAATACCATATTTAGCTATAAACTCATCAGTGTACCAATCAATTCATAATTATCACACCCCCATGATCCAATCCCCTCCAAAAGCTCTACCTATGAGTGCATGAGGCTTCGGGGATGGGGGAAATCAAGATATAAACCATAACAGTATACCTTTGTGTAAATTAATATCCAGAAATCTTTCTTAATTCTTCTAATAATTTTAATAATTTGTTAAGTCTTTGAAGTATTATATAGAAATCATCATAGTATTTGTAAGTAATGCACAAAATTACAATAGTACAGTAACATAATATCAGGATAATCACAATAATTCCTAAAGTAGAAAAAGAAAACTAAAACTAAAACTGCAGATTAGTCTCACTGAGAGACAGAACTTAAAGGAAATATTAGAAACCTGAGTCCAGCAGTCAGTTAAATAATAACAAATCATGTCTCTGAATGTTTATCTAAAGAAATTTCTTCATTATCAGTTTAAAGGAAAACATACAATCTGTTTGATAGATGTCCAATATACAGTTATTAATTATTTCTGGTTAGAAACTAAGGATGAAGTAAAATTCCCTTAACATATTCTAGAGCAAATACCATGCTTCGTGTTAAATATTAGGAGCAATACTGCCAGACTATTCTAGTAAAATTCCACGAAGACTATTATCATTGCTAATAGTTAGTATTTTATTGAGTTGTACGTATTTTAAAAAATTTAAACAGAGATGCAAATACAGGGGAAAATCTAATAAAAATGCTATTTCAGAAACTATGATTGTCTTCCTAGGATATACAACAAAATTAACTGAATGATCATTAGATGTTATGAGTCATTTTATACTATATGAGAAAAATCAAAAATTAACATCCTCTTCTATTGAGTGCTAAAAATAATTAGAAAAGACTAAGATGAGAAGCATTCATTGCAGAAAGGAAGACTATAAAATACTTCAAAATAAGCCTCAAAGAGAAATGTGTGAAGTCTACTTAAAGAAAACAACTCAATTTTACTTATAGACATGAACAACACTTTTGATTAGAGAAACAAAATGCATTCTTAGTTAAGAAAATTCAGTATCTTTCAAATATCAATTTAAACAAAATTTGTAACTTTGGTATATTCTCCATCAAAATCTTAAATAATTTTTAAGGCACTTAACAAGTTGATTTCTAACT